AACCAAATATTCTTCAACAGAGCACAACAACCTGCAAGCTAATATCTCCTCTGCTACAACTGACCCTTCTGATGACACTCAGATTACCAGTCGTGGCGTCTTTTTCCTGCATTGCACTGTTCAACTCAGTTCAAACAGCACGCTTCTTCTCTGCTTTGTTTTCTGTCACAGACAGGATTACCAGCACGACTGCTTGAATCAGCTGAATGTCAAGGGCATGTGAAGCTTTGAGGACACGTACACGTGACGCAGATTCAGGTCCCGTTCTTTTTTCATCATTTCACACCAACACATTGTAATCAAGTGCTAACGTTTCATTTCTACAATAAGCCAGTTTTCCTCAGGGGCTCATCAAAGTATCATTAAAATCTCTCCACTGCGTGTTAATAAAGTGTAGTGGAGGCCTGGCTTCAGGGTGAGGCCCATGTCTGACCAAGGTACATCGAGCTCCTTGTTCTTTCAGCCCATGAGTTTTCTCCATCGCGGTTCATCTGGCCTGTCACCTTGAACTGTCTGCGTTGGGAAACCCGACCAGAAGTCCGGTAAATGCATCAAACACATAACTCCTAGGGTTCAGGCACACAAACTCCTCCATTACAATAACACAGCAATTCACTGAGGATTTTTATTTATCCCCAAAATATCACAAATCCTTGAAAAAATAATTGATTTTCATTTTTAAAGAAGCCATATTAATGCACAAGTTTATGACAAGTAGTCCTGTTTTTCCTCGTGAGGGTACTAGTTGTTACTTACTCTTGGCCACAAAGTCATCCGAAGTCAGTCCTGACTGCTGTATGTTTTCTGGCAGCTTTAGGATTGCTGTCTTCAGCTTGTTCATCAGATCACATTTGGACACAATTGCAGCACCAGCCAGGCTGCAGCCCAGTACTCCCACAGCAAAAAGAACCAGTATCTTCATCTTGACTCCAAAGATCTCAGATTCTGAAGCTGTGACATATTTATATACTGTAGGTGAAGTCCACCGTTAAAAAGAACCTTTTGTTCTCGTGAATAAAAGCCACTCCCAAGTTCTTAATGCTGGCATAAAATCCCACAGTGAGTTTGAGTTCTGAGGAAGAATAAAAAACATCTACCTGATACTACTTGACATCATTTACAGGTCACACCCAGTTCTGTTTACAGGAGTCAAAGCCTTGAAGGATGACCTTAATCATACAAAGCATGTATAGTTTCAGAGAACATAGCGTTAATGCAGAAAGACAACAGAGGTGAATACAAAATGTACTAAATGTAAATGTGTCCTGAGCGCAGCTCTCTGGTACTGCCCCAACTTTTCACAAACTGGAAACAAACCAACAGCAACAAAACAATAAGCTTGAAAATCAGTCATCCCACTTTTAATACACGGTTTCTACATTGTAATTAACGGGTTTCAGATAGCCTAATTATTCAGTGCTTTACACTTTTAAATAAGAGAAAATACATTTTAAAAAGATTATATTAGAAAGAAAGTCATAACATAACAGACGATTTGCCTCAAACATTGGTCTGTCCTAAACCTCAGTACATCCGCAAGCAAAGACCAAGTATCTGTACCTTACCGAAATTTAATTGTGCTTTTATTCATTTAAATTCCTTCTGAAAATGAGGTTTCAGTAATGTAGATTTGGTGCTTTTACCAGTCTAGTGGATTGGTTGAGAAGAAACCGGTCTTGTCTTTAAGCGGTCTTTCTAATGTCCACAGACAACTTTCTGCAGGATAGTAATGTGGAAACTAGAGGACTTGAAGGACTGCAGGCACCCATCTTAGTCAGTCAACATTGTCTAGTCACGGGATTTTAGAAAAATAAGAAAGTAACAGTGCAAACTGTACTCCCAAACTTGGAGTGAAGGATTATCTTTCAAATCTGGATCGAAGTAGCCTCAGGATGTGATGTGGAGCAGAAAGGAGATAAAGCTGGGGTAGCTCAGTCTTCAGTTATTTAGAACTGTACACTTTTATAGTTTGTTAACAAAGTTATTTAGCAACAACAAAAACAAAACAACAAACCCCACAATGAGTAAACTGAGTAAATCTGACATCATGTCAAGCCCTTGGAGATAGACACTGCGTGGAACCCAATAACTCTCAGCCCTGCAAGAATGGACCTGTGGAACTGCCCACGTGGAAAAGAACTGCGACCTGGCTGTTTTGACTGTTGCCATAGATTTTTAATGGTTGCTTGATGTTTAGTTCAACCTTGTTTTTGTTTTTCTGCATCTCTTTTTGGTTACTTTTTGTGGCATGATACAAGTGAATCACTTTCTGTGCAGTGTCTGTCTCCAAGGGCTGGACATGATCCAGGTTTTGGATTCAGTCAATGCACCAAAATGCAGGAGTGGTTTAAAGTGTTTATTAAAGCAGGGTCTCTGGTGGAGGTCTGGGTCCATGGGCTGCTCGGATCTGAAGAAACAGGAGAGTTAGAGGCTGGACTTTGATTGTGAAGGTTCTTAGAGGGAAATAGGTAGTCACTAACCTTCAGTCAGGCAGAGAGCAGACTCCGTGTGACAGGTGGACCCCATGACGTCACCAGCGCTGAATAAGCTGCAGCAGTGCAGGAGAGCTGTGCAGAAACGAGGTCCAGTAGAACAGTCCGAGGTCATACACTTGTCAAAAATCCTTATCCAGATCCAGAGAGTTAGGAAAGAGGCGAAGTTAGTGCTGTAATACTCGAGACCGGTCTCAAGCCACTTTTTTGATGGTCTCGGTCTCGTCTCGGTCTCGACTGTGTTTGGTCTCGGTCTTGACTCGGTCTTGGACATTGAGGACTCTGGATTTTATTTCAAGACTAATCAAAACCTCAACTGTGGAAATATCACTAAATTGCCAGAATATTGTCCATTTTATTTGTTAACATCCTTATTTTATTCGGATGCAAAACGTACTGATTCAAATCCAAGCGATAATGTGACTCATTGCTAAATACATGTTTTTGTTACCGCTGGCACGCCCACCCCCTTTCACGCACACGCATCACTCCCTGTGTGGCCAGTCTGCGCGTTTTTCATTCTGATTTTGCTGGGAACGCTGGGCAGATTTTTGTTGGATTGTTGCGTTTTGTTAGATATTGTTAAATTACCTTGGCTTGAACTGATGTGCGTTCATGGTCAAACAGTAAATATTCTGTAACAATATATTGATTGGGCAGATTCTTGTGTGATGTGGCAGTTTTTAACATATATTTTGGGTTAGAAAATCTCAACTATCTGGCAAGACTGGTCACTCTAAGAAAGTGAGAAGAGGTTGTCTGGGAGCGGGAGAAGATGCCTACCAAATCATCAATTATAATATTTGGCTATTTAAATCACAAAGAATATACTTGTAAAGCAACAGTGAGAAAAAGCACACATTGCAATGTAACTTCTGCAGTGCTTCATTATCAGAGACGGCTGAGACTACGTCCAACTTTTATCGACACCTGGAAAGGAAGCACAAAGAAAGGTAAGCTACAGTATGTGTAAGTGATGATAGCAAAGTTAAAGTTAACATTAGCAATATGCGTCTGTTCCAAGAGCAATAAAGTAGTGGAGGCTGGTGGTTTTTGTCCAGGAGGGGCGCTATACACACACCTA